TAAAAAAAATTTAGCTTATTCTGATAATTTTATCATCAATTAATTGATTAAATTATCATCATCATCATCATATCATATTTGAAAGATGGGAATGATAAAGGAATTATTAACAGCTCTTATCATTCCTTATCTGTCAACGATTAGAAAATTTTTCAAAACAATATCAATGTCTTAGACAATCATTATTGTATCATAAATTTTATCAATCTAGAAAAAGCATAGGAAAAGATAATTTCACGAATTTTATCAGCTTACTTTTGTTTTTTTTTTCATTTTTAGGAGATAATTATAAGCAATACTGGTTATCTGATAAATTTATGTCATTTGATATTGGTTATCTTCTGCAGACTCGTGAGATCTAATCCTCAGGATGGAATTAAAATCATTCGTTTATGGCAATCATGGACATTTTACTTCGAAATTTGATTAATGCCGACTATGTATATCATTCATAGTTATACATAATCACCCTAGAAATGCTTCTGGTGACATCGTTCCAGGTTTCATTGTTTTGATAGCCACTTCTACCATACCTCGCCATTTACCGTACCACACATCACCGAAATTTCCATCTCCCAACTTCCTTTTTAGCTGAAGCTGATTTCGTGGGATCTCCCAGTTCTGAAGCAGGTGAATGAATGTTGCATTTTCCCATCTAACACCAAGAAAGAAGTAAAGCTGAACTCAGTCATCTCTAACAATGACCTTGTTAATGAGAAAATATCTTGCAACAAATCGGAAAAACACCAACCTGTTGCGTATCATGGGAAAGATCAGGACGAGTGGGAGCAATGCGTGGTGCTGGAAACGATAACTGACAGCAAAGACCATCAGCCACTTCTGCAACAACATCATTCACAAAAAAAAAAAACGGCGCCAAAACAGAAGACAAATATTAAATACATGAGATATCATGATTAATGCCATTGTCGCTATAAGAAAACATATTAATCAAATTCATTTGCCTGAATAATAACTGACGAGATCCCTGAGAGTTGCAAAAGTCCTTCTAGTTGTAATAAAGAAACCTGCGTCGCCATCCAATCTGAATGAAAAACAGAAACACAGTTACACAAAATATGGTGTCGAGTTTTTGAATTATTCCATAACGAATTGCTTATAACATAACAATTAAAACCCACCCTTGCTTAGTACTGCACAGTGTGAAAAGGAAAATGCATGAAATAATTCGCGAGAAGGGATTCTAAAATCGCAATGAATTGCATCATTTACAAAGAAGTATAGTCAACCATATTCTAACAAGACATGCAATCTACGCGAGAATACGAACCGTTTGATTTTGTAATGTTTCACAGTACCTCCACGCTGATCGTCCGAATCTCTAATTGTGAGAGCATATTCCCGGGTATCTGCTTCTCGCTCACGTATAAGAAAGGTTCCTTTCGGTAGGTTACTTGCCAAAACTAATCTTTCAGCTCGATTGCGCGCAATTCGACCGGCGAACCATCCGAAAGTAAGACGATGAAACTCATCTATTTTATATGAAAAACATGGATAGAAAAAAAAGTTTGCAAGTAGACCATACGATTACTACATTTCAAAATATGATACATGACAATCCTTGAAAGTGGCAGGCGTAAATGCCTAAATTAAGTGTGCATCACACTGGAAAAAAGATTAAAAAGGTTAATAACAGCGAACCATATAAAACCTAGAAATCGGATGGTATAATAACAACTTACTCCTCACTCTCTACTGTTTGTTGTCTTGCGACAAAATTTCGTGGAACATACCCAGTACCTCCTTTCGAATGTCTTACATACCACCAATCTGAGTTACTGAAATTATGACTTCAGTAACCATTTCTATAACGCTTAATGGAAATGAAGTCAATTAAGTGTACTGCAAACAACAAAACTCAATTACTGTGCAGTGAACCAAAGAAAAGAGACCTCTGATCTAACAAATACATGACATCGCCTTTTCTAAAGCTGAGATCACCATCTGCTCGTGACTCATAAGCGTACAAAGCAACCAAGACCTCTTTGGCGGGAGTTGGATCTGGAAACCAAAATAACTAAAAAAAGAATGAAAAATTTCCAAAAACTACTTTTTCCATCTTCGTCCATCTGGCAAACAATTACTTTTTTAGCTTCAATTAGTTCTTCTTAAAATCCAAATCTGTATCATGGTTGAAGACCTTGCAAGCCACGATTTTCATGTCTTCGAGGAGTCAATGCTTCGCTACAGTTTGCTTCTTTAAGTGGTTCAACGCTATCGCGATCGGCAAGGAATTTCGGAGAACTACGTTCATTGCGAATACCTGATGAAGGCGACGACTGACGCCGTGATCCAGAGAAACAATTACCCATATCTCTGCAAGGCTCACATTATGCAACATATCAGTAAAGTGCTTCACAGTTGCTATCTTCCACAAGGGAAGCGATTGATGTTACAGTAAAACTTGAAACATAATTTGTACAGGGTAAAAACAGAGACAAGGATTCACTGCATTCACTGCAGTGAGATTTCAACCACCAAAACAACCCAAGTAATAACAGCAATAATATCAAGAGATTGTCTCCCAAAGGATTTCTGTCAAAATAATCATTTTAAAGTTGACTACTGTCCACCATTACTTGTTAACATGAATATGCTACTTGAAAAGCAATCTCTGAAAGACAAAATGAATGTTTTATAGGAAGACTACGTCAAAAAAATACACTGCAGGCCTAATGCTCCTTTCGTTGATGCTGTTTGTTCCCAATATTCTCTTTTAGCAAAATTTCACTCCGTCTGAGACAAATTCAATATATTATTACAGTATTCTTGGCAAATTTTCTGAAAAATTAAATTAATTTAACAAATTGCAAAGATGATACTGAAATAAGACAGAAGCACTTCCACAATCAGTCCGTCCTTCTTGTTTCGGTCTCATAAACAAAATGTACTTCCTGCAGCGTGTAAAACTTGCGCCATAAATAAAATATAGGATAGGAAGATAATTCATACCTGCACCTGAAACGGCCTCACAATACAATTAACAAATTAATATTTCAATTTTTATTAAATACCACAAACAGATCGAACAACTTCATAAACATACTGAATAGCAAAGATTTAGAAAAATATATCATGTCTTACATTGCATGTATAAGGTGACTAGAGGAAACACTCGCGACACAAATTAAGCAGATATACTTTATTCTTCACGTTACGCACTACTAATAAACCAAAAAAAAAAGAAATTTCTAATAAATTTATTGAAAAGAATCCTTCAAATTCATAAATACCTTCAAATTCATAAATATTGGTTGATATGATTTAACTGTAACTAAAACTTCACAACTGATTCAATGATTATATATATATATATATATATATATATATATATATATATATATGTATATGTATATATATATATATATATATATATATATATATATATATAT